CACACACACACACACACACACACACACACACACACACAACAACAACAACAACAACAACAGTAACAAAGAGAAAAGAAAGAAAGAAACTCTCTTGAATAAGGAAGAGGGGAGTAGGTGTTAATTAATTATTAGTGCCAATGTGATAACCATACCATGTTCTTTCTCATGACGTCTAGCAGATCGTCCAGCGTGCTGACGATAGCGGCATAGCCGTTGCTGACTTTTACTTCATCTTCAGCTTGAACCCTTGACCGCCTACGGCTCTTCTGTACCTGCAGGAGAGCAGCATAGTCGTTGGAGATTTATATGTGTTACTTAGTTTAGAGGAATGGATAGTGACTCTGACAATGCCAAGGCACATTTTACAGTTTACAACACCAAGCAACTCAAAGAACAAAGAAAAACAAATGCATGCAGAGGAAAGAAGGAAAACATTGAGCGAGCGAGGAAGCAAGGAAGGGAAGAGGAGGTGGCAGAGGGGAGAGAGAGGAGACGGAGGAGGAGGAGGAGGGGGAGGAGGAGGAGAACAACAGCGACAGCAAAAGTTGCTGCTGCTGCTGCTGCTGCTGCTGCTGATGCTGCTGATGCTGATGATGCTGATGATGCTGATGATGACAATGACAAAGACAATGACAATGAAATGACAATGACAATGACAATGACAATGACAATGACAATGACGATGATGATGATGATGATGATGATGATGATGATGATGAAGAGACTCGTGCACTTCACGCTCATCACCCACCTTGAGACAGACAGGGAGAAGCGGTGCCACTATTTTTGTCAAATTGTCTCGGATTGTGCCAAATATCTTTTCTGTGCAGGCGACCAATTGCTGCCTGAAGACGAGGGCTGGCCGCTGAGCCTCCATCAAGTTCGAAGTGTCCACACCGGTACCGCTTCCATATATGCCAGACTGCCAAAACGAAACAGCATACACACAAACACACGCACACACACACAAACACACAAACACACAAACACACAAACACACACAGGGTTGGTGTGAGTAAAGCCGACCACTTTTCTCAGAGGTATCACCCACTCCGCAGTCCAGGCAGCATGGCGAGTCACCGAGTCCTTATCCACCAGTCAAATGCATCCTGGGCAGACTGTCGTGGTTCAACGTCCTGATGAGTCGGTGAAAGTCCAACAAAACAGTCCCGCAAGTCATGCTTTTTTTTTTCTTCTGTGGAGTTGTGTATAACAAATATGACAACACACGTGCACCCACACACACACACACACAAACACACACACACACACACACACACACACACACACACACACACACACACACACACACACACACACACACANACACACACACACACACACACACACACACACACACACACGCACAGATACATATGCCCACAGAGGATCAAGCAGATTTATGCACAGACGCAAAGAGACAAACACACCAGCACAGCAACATGGAGGAAGAGTAACACAGGCGCAGACATCAGAAATCAGACACACAGAATAACACTAACAGCCTTCACTCTCTGCAAACTGAAACAGCGAATACATGATACTTCCAGTGGGGTTCAAACTCGGGTCTGTATTTCAACAGTTCGGGGGTGTACCAGCTGAGCTAGGCCGGTTGGTGCGCATGCAGGATAATAATTCTGAGAGCATGGAACCATGCATGGCCGGTAATAGGAAGTAATCGAGCTAATGCATCCGGCAATAGTAATATGCCCGCAACAAGCAGCAAGCTTCGCTTTCAGTCAAACTCTTAGACAAACTGCTGGCAGAAAAAGACTGTCATATTTGACAGACTGACACCTGTAGTAGCAGCAAAAAAAAAAGAAGGTGTGACATCACGGGATTCACAGCTTACATTCGGACCTTCTTACTGAGAGTCAGGGCAGCTATGGAATGAGCCCTCATCAAGCACCATAAAGAACAAGAAGCAGCATAAAAAAACAAGCAGCACGATAAAAATTTAAAAAACAACAAGCATCATTAAAAAAAAAATTGTGACATGAACTAGACCTTGCAGGCCTGGGGCGAAAAGGTGTGTGGTTACCTTGGAGGACCGTCTCCTGTCTGAGCTGAATCTCAAAGTACGCTGCATCATATTTAGGAGGCAGGTGGAGTTTGAGAGCCAATACGCCAGCCCGTCGTTGTTGTCAAGTGCACCCTGCAAAAAGTCGATTTATTGTCCCAACGAGTAAGTAACAAGGAAGCAAGCAAACAACCAGCCACCGACAATCAATCAACCACATCAAATCCAATCAAATCATCAAGCTAATCAACCAATCAAAATTCAAATCAAATCAAATCGACAAATCACATCAAATCAACAATAACAAATTGACCAATCAAATCAAATCAAATCAAATCAAATCAAATCAAATCAAATCAAATCAAAACAACCAAATTGAATCAACCAATCAACCAACCAACCAAAATAATGAAGGCAAATTTAGCAAGCCGAAGAGTAGAGCACCAAGTTAAACTTGGAGAACCAAAAAGTCAGGATCCCACTTTTACTGAGACTGAAGGCTTTTTAAAGATTGCCTGGACGATCACCCCAGTTCTTTTAGACGATTCTTGCATCCTGCCTTTATTGCTTCACTCTTGTCAGTGCAGGAAGGTTATAATGAATCTTTCAGCGGAACTTCAGATTTCGACGACATCCTTCCAGAATTGTGCGGAATGCGCGAAACAAACTTTTAGGGAAAATAGTACAATACTAAAATAGAGCGCCAAAAAAAAAAAAAAAGAAAAAAAAAAAGAAGAAGTTCAAGATTAGAAGTTCAGACTTTGTGCCGAGGAAGGGAAGAAGAAAAAATTGAAAAATATATTAAAAGGAGGGCTACAAGAACCCCCTTTCCAGGCTGCATGTAGTGCTTGGAGAAAAACGCTCAGCCTACCTCAATCCCTGAGATGACCACAGCAACAACACGGCTGAAGATGCGTGTGTGCTCTGACTTGAACGAATTCCAGTGGAGTAGCGACTTGAATACGACACCAGCTGCCACAGGAAAGTTGAGGCTAAAGCCTACATCTTGTGAGATGCAGTGGATCAGCAGCCCCTGGTCCTTCTGCCGAAAACAAAACGAAAAGAAAAGAACAGGAGTTAGCTACTTCTCACTGTCAATTGGAACGCATAGTGCCAACACGTTGGCAAGACATTGAGGGAGTCATCAAACACAAAAAAAGGAATTGAGGGCGTACTCACACTAGCACTATCTTAATTTTTCTTAAATGTATCTGACCACATTTACGGCCAGACCTGTCTGCATCAGGCTGCAATTCCATCCAGAAGTAAAAAAGTGCTACCGTCTCCACCCGAATAGAACACCTGCTCATTATAGCTGTATCTGGACTGAAAATTGCACCAAGTACGCTTATAATGACCAGGTGTTCGGGTGAAGACGGTAGTGTGATTATGCCCTGAGACACAGTCAAGATGGACAGAGTCTGACAAACACATTCCAAACACAGACAAAGTTCAATCATGAAATGACATCCAGGCATGTGCAGTCCGATACGAACAGGGCAACTATGAAGCTTTTTTTTTTTTTTTTTTTTAAAAAGGGCAACTATCCGGCTTGAAGAAAGTCCAACAATACCAAGGACACCAAACCCAAACAAATCTTATTGTGACTTACACGATAGATTCAAGCAGAGCGATCATGTGAACCGAGCGTTCTGGACCAATAGGTGCAAATGGAAATATTAGGAAATAGGTTCATACTTTTGAGAGTGATCCAGACAACAATATAAACAGAGGCACTAAATTAAATGCGGTTGTTCAGAAGGGCATGGATTCTTATTATTTCTTAACCGTTGAGAGGATCAAAAACAAATAGCAACACCCTATAAAAGATGGACAAAGGGGCTTTACGGAGTCAAAGGGTATGCTTAGCGACTGGAAATTTGAATTTAAATTTCTGAACTCAGCCGTAGGGCCAATTCATCCCAGAAAGAAAATTCTAAGGGGGCCTCCTAAGCATTGGCGACCGCATAGGACCTTTACCTGAAGTTTTTCCAAAGCTGCTTTCCTCCTCTTCTGCTCCAGTAATTGCCGGCTCGATACTGATCTTGATCTCGACAGCTTGCGATCGGGATCTGCTGGGGCATCTGCCTCAAGTCCTTCAACCACAGGTATGTCCCGGCCGGTGTTCTGCTGTGATGTGAGATGTGCAATTGAGTGGTAGGTTGGTTGCACATTCCATCATCCAATGATTGTTCCGGAACCGCCAGATTTGAGAACCCCACACACAAGCATTGAATACAACATAAGACAATACCCACACGGTCATCAGCTTCAGGGCCTTGGTGATTGATCATAGCAAGAAACATTGCAGACCTGATCCAGTCTTTTGAATCCACGCAAAGCCCAGCTTTTGTGGTCTGTGTGTTGCGGATACCGCCAAGGGGAACGGATTGATCATTTTATGAGTGCTCATAGCATAGGAAAAGGTATAGCAAATGATGGGAACACCATTTGGGACTTGTCTCAACTCAGGCCAGCTCAGCTCCACTCCGCTCGACTGCGAGGCCCAGCGGTGCTCTGTTCAACTCCGAGTCCTCAGGTCAGCTCAGCACACGCCAGGTTAGACTCGTTAGAGTGCCGCATCTCACCCCGCTTCACACCACCTCATCTCGACTCACGTCATGTTACCTCACCTCACCTGAGCTCACGACATCGAAAATGGACCAACAATGGAAGATAATGTTGGTCTCCTAAAACATGGACCAACAACGGAAGATAATTATGCCAGTTTCGTAAAAAATGGACCAAGAACCGAAGATAATGCCAGTTCATTGCGTCAATCATCTGCAGGATGGGCTCTTTCAGGTGTGCAAATCAGAGACATTTCTGCACAGTGCAGGGCTTAATATGGCCACGGGCAAATGATAATGATGATGACTGATGATGATAACGATGACGCCAGCCAGAACCAGATGGAGAATGGGTATACCGAATGGATAAGCTTCAGGTTTACTTACTAAGTCATCATAAGGTTAAGGAGACATGAGGCATAGTGAGCTGGGAAAGAAAATGTCACCTCTGTCTCCATGGATTCATCTTCCCTTGGCCCTCTTTCATTTTTGGGATTCTCCTTGCGAGATGACCGCAGCTCACTCACAGCCTCACGAAAGCGACTTTCCTTCTGCGAGGAGCGAGCTTCACTGGTCCTTGATCCCCGGAGATCAGTTGTGCTCGCTCGGGGATCAGCTGTGCTATCTCTTCGGCTGGACCTTAGTTCTGATACGCTCTCCCTTCGTGAGACAGCATCCGCTTTCTGAGATAGAGAGGCAACGACAAACAGTACAGGATCACCATCACCACGAATAAGGACAGTGTTACCAGGTTGGCAGAGGTTGCTTGCCTTAACTGACAGACAGCCGGTATTCGACTAATCTCTGCAACAAGTTTCACCTAAATTAGCATCTTTCTTGTCCTCCCTCTTTATTTCATGTGCCCTGCCTGGGATCAGATGATCAAGGACCCTTCCTGATGGTTGGGTGTAACGAGGGGGTTCAAGGTTTTCAAGACAAGACAATGATTCACGCCGGAGGAAGTAGATGATTGGATTCACCTCGATGCTGACAGCTTCACCAACTGGAAGAGAGAGAGAGAGAGAGAGAGAGAGAGAGAGAGAGAGAGAGAGAGAGAGAGAGAGAGAGAGAGAGAGAGAGAGAGAGAGCATAAGCCAGCTTTGAGCTCACCGTAAGCGCATCTCCTCTTGACGAGCGCCGTGTGCTGGACCTTGTTTTCTGTCACAACGCATCACAGAACAAACGAGATGACAACAAATGTTGAGGATGATTCATTCTTGAAGAAAAAAATGTGGAAGTTCAAACTGTCCCACTCGAAACCGTTTCACACATTTCTGTGCCTAAGTCAACCAATTACTATCAACCAATCAACTGGTCGTAATCAACCAATCAATCAACCAATCAATCAACCAATCAATCAACCAATCAATCAACCAATCAATCAACCAATGAACGAATGAATCAATCAACGAATCACCTGATCAATCAATCAACTGATAAATGAATATCTATGGAAGGAAAGCAGTCGATAAAAGTGCTGTTGCATGTTGCTCATTCAGATGCAGACAAGCATTTTATCGTTGTCTTCCGTGCGTTAGGCTCTGATCCTTGCTGTTTTATGGAGGAGAAAAGTGTGTGATGCTGTATCTAGCTTCTCATTTGTGAAGGAGATGCAAGAAAGTAGGACCTCTCACCGTTGGTGGTGGGCTGCCATCTGAGTCATGTACTGGCTCATTGTGACTGCGCCTTCTGCTCCTGCGTGGCTCATTCTCACCCAAGTCATCTGCATCTCTCTGTGACGACCTGGCTCGCGAGGACTCCTTGCGAGAGCTGTACAGGTCTCTCTCCCTACGGGCACCAAGGTCTCTTCCAGTTGGTGAATCCAGATCTCGATACTCCCTCCGCGATTCTGATTCACGGAGAGAGTCCCTCCGCAAGTCTGATCCACGGAGCGAGTCCCTCCGCAAGTCCGATTCCCGGGAGTCTCTCCGTGATTCAGGTTCGTCATTGAATTCCCTGAAGTCTCTGCGTGTGTCGAATTCTCTCCGAGAACCATCGAAATCTCTGCTGCCGGAGTGTCTACGAGAATCAAACTCCCTGGACTCTCTGCGGGGGTCAAAGTCCTTGGATTCTCGGCGAAGATCATAATCTCTGCGCGAATCAAATTCCCTGGTGCTTCCCAATGAGGACCTCCTGGTATCAAACTCCCTTGACTCCCGTCGTGGATCGAAGTCTCTGCTTCCAGTCGACTCCCTGCGTGTTGAATCATACTCTCCTCGCCGCTGAGAGTCAGCCCTGCGCATATCCAGTTCCCTGCTGCCACGCATCTCGTACTCCCTGCTCTCGTAGTCCCTGCTGCCCCGGAGGTCGTATGCGCTGTCCCTCCTCGATTCGAACTCCTTGTCTCTACTGCTCCGAAGGTCAGAGTCCCTCCCTGGCCGCATATCGTAGTCCCTCTCCATGTCCCTCATCGACTCACTGTCTCTCCTCCCTTCAGTGCTGTCTCTGCGTCCGAAGCCCCCTTCCTGTGAAGACCTCTGCAGAGGCAACAGTTTGGGACACCATTCGTTGGAACACATTGTTAGTCAGTCATTTTCACATCATCCGGTGATTTCCAATGCCTAGTGATAACCTCTCACAACCTCAACCATAACTGTTCGATGCAATCTTGAGAGTGTTCATGCCATCTTTGATCTTGGTGCTGAGAGTCACGGATCTGACGAGCATTCGTTCTCTGGCAATCATGTCTGTCGTGAGGCAGCCACTTGAGCAGATACACGACTTTTTCGGGGAACATGAGAACAGTCAAAGAGACTGGTGACAAGTCAGAACGTCCGTGCTCTCATCGTGCGAAGCGTGACAGCTGTTAGAGCGAAAGGAAGTGGCAAACTTGTGCGCTATGCACAGCGTTAACTTGGCATCAATCTCCGCAGCTCGTGACCATTCATACGCCTGCATTTTTTTTCTACTCATCTCGCGCAGTTCATTTTTCTGCACCACATAGTTTTTGTTCGGATTTCTCCGGTTTTTTTCTTTTTTTTCTTTTTGCTGGGCCCTTCCGTGGTCCTTGCCCGGCCGGGCTGCCCCGTCAAACAAAGTGACCCGGGCCTTCGGGCTAAGATCAAGCGAAGTATATGTTCTGATCAGTTTAAACTCTGATTCGTGGTCCATCACGTTACCCCCCAAAAAAAGAAGACATGATCTGATGACAACCTTAAGGGACTGCAAAACACTTCTGAAGTTATGAAAATATTTCGTCTCGAGTACTATCAAAACCCCCATCAGCCAAGTTTACCGAATGCGAAATGCGGGAAGATGGCGAGGAAGAAAAAGAGAGGTGAAATGACAAGGACAGGTTACTTACCAACTGCATTTGATCATCATCTTGCATGGAGTAGCCGAGCTCCGGCGAGCGCTGCATTCCAAAATAGGCAGGAAAAGAGTCAGAAAAGGGGATTTCAAAGAGTCGAACAAGTTTCAAAAGAGGCAGGAAAAGAGAAAGAAAAGGAAACACAGAAAACCCAGAGGATGGTGACAAAGAGAAAATGAAAATGAAAGGGATGGACGTCAGTAATCTAGTCCATGTTTCATCCAGAACATCCGATTCCGCTCTATCTGAGTTCCAGTGATGGCAGTTTCCAAGCTGACGTAGGGACGGAAATAAAGGAAACAACAGTAGGATTACAATACCCTCAACGAGCTCCATAAACCATACAATACCAAACTGAAGCAACACACAACAGAGAACATTAAGATAGACTGTCATCATCTGACATTCACTTTACGATCAAGGAACACAGGGAAAACAGAATCAGTGAAAACAACACAAGTAAGAGTGATACACATTGAGACAACTGTAACATTCTTCCTAGTTCTGTCACATGATGATGGCATGTCCAGTAAGTCATGATCTATAGACCGGTTGATGGGGCGAGCTAGGAGCAAGCATATGAAAAGGCAGTAGTTCCTTATCTACCCAGTAGTGCAAATGTAGAGACGTACCGCGTCCATATCCTCCCTAGAAATCTGGAAAACCATCGGCTGCAACAGTCGACGAAATGCAGCATAGAGAAACGCAAACGAGCTTGTGTTACGACAGTACTATTGCAATAGCAGTTGCCGTAATCTGTTACATGACACACCTAACATATACTGAACATAGTAACATACACTATAATTCCCTAACCGTAGGGATACAAGGGCACCAGAATGCCCATTCCGGGAAGCAATTACCAAAGCCATTTGGGAGAGAGGCATACATAATTACACCCTGTAACAATAGCAGTCCACAATACCAGTCGCAGTAGGAATCTATGGAGTTCTGTAGGGCAAAACAACTCATCTAGGAATCAACGAAACATACCAGGTTACAAAGAAACAGAACTGAACAGATACAGCCATTGCTGCTAAAAACATCACGGGGAGGTAGAACTCTTTCATGGCTTCAGTCCAACACCCACAGCTACAATGGTTGGTTAGGAACGTTTACAAGAAGCATGCTCCCTGCTAGAGTACCAGGCAATAGTCTCAGACGGGCAAGCATCTGGTGAGGCTCTAGAGGCTAGAGCTCAATAACAACCCTCTCTTCGTGGAGGAGAATAATGGAGGTCTCCATCACTCACAATAAGCAATCAATCCGGCTCCTCACTCCGGGTACTTTCTGTGCTATTCTTCCCGCACTCTACATGGACAAGAGAGGCGAATGATTCATAAAGCAAGCAATCGCTCCCCCTGCAAAGCCTGTGATGCCAACTGGGATCTGAAGTCCGTTTCGCCCTACTGCTTTAATGTAGGTGTCCAATCCAGTGTGGTTGATTTCCATAACCGTTACTTCCATTTGATCACCATCACAGAGCCATACTTACATGCACGCCCAAAGTCAAAAGAGGAGAGAGAGAGAGAGAGAGAGAGAGAGAGAGAGAGAGAGAGAGAGAGAGAGAGAGAGAGAGAGAGAGTCCTCGTTCTCCATTCACCACCCTGAATGCCCAGGCCACAAATGCTCCTAGGATAGGATGATTACGTGGCCACTCTTGTTTTGATTAGGTGTCTTCGTCCACAACGGACAGTACCCAGAGGGCATCCTTTAGCCTAATAGATCCAGATATGCCTTTGGTGTGTGCAGTGAGAATTAGGAAGAGAATTAAGAAGATAACCCGAAGTCAAAAGAGGAGAGAGAGAGAGAGAGAGAGAGAGAGAGAGAGAGAGAGAGAGAGAGAGAGAGAGAGAGAGAGAGAGAGAGAGAGAGAGAGAGAGAGANAGAGAGAGAGAGAGAGAGAGAGAGAGAGAGAGAGAGAGAGAGAGAGAGAGAGTCCTCGTTCTCCATTCACCACCCTGAATGCCCAGGCCACAAATTCTCCTAGGATAGGATGATTACGTAGCCACTCTTGGTTTGATTAGGTATCTTCGTCCACAACGGACAGTACCCAGAGGGCATCCGTTAGCCTAATAGATCCAGATATGCCTTTGGTGCGTGCAGTGAGAATTAGGAAGAGAATTAAGAAGATAAAGAAAATTAAAGAAATCCTTTTCCTGTGTATATCCAGCCATTCATTTACGGGAAGGCCCAATAACAACCATTTTGTTAAACGCCTCATAAAAGGGGCATTCTATTTATATTTTTTAAACGAAATAGAAACATACTTATTTGGCCATAAAAATGCCACCATTTTAGCTCTTGAGGGTCCATCTGGACTTAGCTGAGGTCCAGATACATCCAAGGGGGTCCAGTGTTTTCAGATGGTGACATTCTTAGGGCCAAACAAGTAGCTTTCAACTTCGTTCTAAAAATATAAAATGTTCGTTTTCACGAAATGGCTGTTCAACAGAGAATTAGCCATTGTAGGTTCAATGTTGTAGGCTTGATATTCCTGCAGACCTCCCAGGGTATCCATTCCAGCCATGCATGGTCCATTGGTCCTCTCCTAAATGCTTGGCCCAGTCGTCTTTTATGTATTTTATGTTAACTTCTTGAAGGCTTACTAGCTTCAAAACCAAAAAGGATAGATGAGGAGGTGATCACACTGTCACTTTGTCTGCAACAGCAGGCACACAATTCATCATTCTCAAAGAGAACACACATCCGGTCTAAGTTTCTTGGCTCGTTGTCCTTCGGGACATCCGTTAAAATTGGAACGATACAGAGAAGATTAGCATGGCCCCTGCGCAAGGATGATACACATAAATCGAGAAATGGTCCAATGTTTTTCAAAAAAAAAAAAAAAAAAAAAAAAGAGTTTCTTGGCTCGTTTGAGGGAAGCAAAGCAAGCATGAACTGGAAAAAGGAGCATTACCTCCTCGCGATGCAAGTTTGAGCGAGCTCTTGATGCCCAGTCGTGCGCTAAACTGGCAAAACCAAACGGGTTCTTCATGCTCGTAGATTGCCTGTCCATTCCACGGTCCATTCCACGGTCCATTCCACGGTCCATTCCACGGTCCATTCCAGGGTGGCCACCCATCCCACTCATTCCCATTCCCATGTTTCCCATGGATTGCATCCCTTGCATACCCATGTTGCCACCCATGCCTCCCATGCCGGTCATGCCCATCAGTAACTGAGCAAGAGGGTTCGCTTGACCCATGGGTGCCATTTGCCCCATTGGTCCCGTAGCATTTCCAAGACCAAACTGGGCTGCCAGTTGAGCAAGAGGGTTCCCCATCCCTCCCATCTGTGATGAGAGCGCTTGCATCAGTGGGTTCATAGGACCATTGACCATTTGTCCTCCCAACGCTCCAGCCATCTGCGAGTCTGCTGACCCCTGTTGCCCTCCAGGACCCTGTGCATCTGTCATCATATTGTTACCCATTCCCATTCCCATACCCATACCCATGGAACCAATGCCTCCCACACCAAAGTTGGTTTGCTGCTGTCCCATTCCAGCTTGGCTACCCATAGCTCCACCATTGACATTCTGCATATCCTGGGACATGCCGTTGCTCTGCTGCTGCCCCATGCCCATCTGCGGGAACAAGCTTTGTCCGCCCATTTTCATCATGGCCTGTTGCTGTTGCTGTTGTGGCATGATCTGCGGGGAAGCCATTTGCTGTCCCAGTTGCTGCTGCATTCCCATCTTTCCATCTGGTGTCATTGCCCGTTGCTGCATCATTCCTTGTTGCTGTTGAGGTGGGTACACTCCCTGAGCAGGTGTGCCAGGTCGTGCCCCTGGGAAGCTTGCCTGCTGCTGCTGCTGCTGCTGCTGCTGCTGCTGCTGTGAAGCCATCATCTGTTGCTGGGCATGAGGTCCTGCAGCCATCATAACCTGCTGCTGCTGCTGCTGCTGTTCAGGAGTTGAAAGGTAGGGCGATGGAGCTGTGCCTGTCATGGAAGCAGGCTGTGTGGCATTGAACAGGGATTGTGCTGCATAAGATTCTGCTACCTGGCCTCCATGGTAGGTAGCTGGTGAGGGAGAAGGTGGTGGACAAGGGTAAGGTGCGGCTGCTACAGCAGCTGGACCTCCAGGATAGGCCGGTGTGGCAGCTGGGGCCGGTGCTCCAGGGTAGGCCTGTGCGGCAGCTGGGGCTGGTGCTCCAGGGTAGGCCTGTGCGGCAGCTGGGGCTGGTGCTCCGGGGTAGGCCGGTGAGGCAGCTGGGGCTGGTGCTCCGGGGTAGGCCGGTGTGGCAGCTGGGGCTGGTGCTCCGGGGTACGCTGGTGCTGGAGCTGGGGCTGGTGCTCCGGGGTAGGCTGGTGCTGGAGCTGGGGCTGGTGCTCCAGGGTAAGCTGGTGCAGCGGCTGTGGCAGGCGCTCCGGGGTAGACTGGTGCGGCAACTGGGGCTGGTGCTCCTGGGTAGGCGGGTGGGGCTGCTGCAGCTGGTGCTCCTGGGTAGGGTGGTGGGGCTGCTGCAGCAGGCGCTCCTGGGTAGGATGGTGGGTTTGCTATAGCAGCTTGTCCTGGATATGCGGATGCTGCTGCTGGGGGAGTCGCTCCAGGATAGGCTGGTGCAGCAGCCACTGCAGGTGCAGGTGTAACACCTGCCGCACTGAGTTGTTCCTGCAATGACTTGTTCTCTGCCTCTAGCACTGTCACCCGCTGTGACTGTGCTTGTAATCCTGCTGCCTCTGCTTCCAACGCTGGCACCTTGGCAGCCTCCTGCCTCAGTTTCTCCAGTTCTGCTGGATCACATGCCGTGCTGGCTGCTGTGGATGCTAGTTTCTCTGCCTCTTTCTTGATGGTTTCCAGCTCAGAGGCATCCAGGCTTGGGGCAGCCATTGCTTCCAGCTCCTTCTTAACCTTCTCCACCTCTGCCTGCAGATCAGTAGCCTTTTTGGCAGGTTCCTTGAGGGAGTCCATCTCGGCTTGATATGCTTCAGCTGCCGCAGCAGCTGCTGCTGCAGCTGCATCCTCTTCCATCTTCTTCACCTTTGCCCGCAGTTCCTCAAGCTCAACTGGATCAACCTTTGGCGCATTCTTCACCTCCTCTTGGAGTTTCTCTGCCTCGGATTCTAGAGATGCCACAGTCTCAGAGTCTTTTCTCAACTTCTCAATCTCCTTCGGGTCAATCTCTACTGCGTCAGCAACGGTGCGCCTCAACTCTTCAATCTCTGTAGTATCCACAGCCTCAGCAGCAGCAGTCTCCTCCCTCACCTTCACAACGTCTGTCTCAAGGCCTGCCATTTTGTCAGCTGTCTTTCGCAGCGAGTTGCTCTCGGTCTCAAGACGCTTCGTAACCTCCTCTTGCCTGCATGAAGAGACAGGAAGAATGCAAAATGACTGAAATGAGGACTCCCATTCATTTAGTAACTGAGTATATGACTGTGAATGAAGACAAGTAACGGAGGCCTAAATTTTCAGACAATTTGTCGCAAAGCTGTGCTATGAACTCCACGGACAGATGTCCATGACTTAAAACGGGAGCCTGTCAGAAAGCACGACTGTGAGCAGCGTCACATGATGTGTAGAAGAGACAGATCACGGTCACTGCCCATCCGGAGGGAATTGAGTAATGGGTATCAGGATGCAAGAGCATCTTGGTAGTAGTAATGACACTTCGTGCACAAAAAAAAAAGACTGGCAAAGCAAACACAAAGCAAAACATTATCCGACAAAAGACGATCAATCCCAAACATTATCCATTTTAGATATCCATTTACCATTCACCTCAGTACACACCTTATCCAGATATGGATCGAATCCATCAACTCTATAGCAATCTCTAAAGTCTATCGGCCATACTTACTTTTGCTTCTCTTTCTGCATTGTTGCAAGCGCTGCAGCATCTTCCTTGGCCTTCTGCTCACGCAGAGCTTTAGCAGCTGCGTTGACATCCTGCATCTCCTTCAGAGCTTCTGCAGCCTTCTTCTCTGCCGCAGAAATCTTTTCTTCCGCTTCCTCCGTCCGGGCTGTTGCTGCCTTGACGACTTTCTGAAATACAAGAAAAAGCAGATAATCACAGCAGCAATGTCCAGAGTCTTCAGAGTTTTGCAGATCTCTCCAAGAACCATTCGAGACACAACCATATGACTTCAACAGAGACAAAGACAATGTGCACCGGTCTACAAAGAGACCTTCACAAGGGCAAGGCAAGAAATGGTGGATTGGCAGTGATGGGGGAAAAACGGACTTAGGCTGACAGCAAGAATCAAGGGATGACAAGAAGGCGGACGAACGACGGAAATGAGTTCTATCCAATCCTCTAAATGTTTTCGCCTAGATCAAACAGGGCTCATCCTGGAAACATTCATCCTTGATAATGTTATGAGCATCCATCATATTAGTCTTGGCTCAGCATAGACGAGGGACCTTGGAGGGGAATGACGGAGCAAGAGTCATGAGGATTCGGGGTATAAGGAAGGGACAATCCTAATGGGGAAAAGCATTCCAGATCACCGTCTTATGGCGGCCAGGATAGGCTTCAAGCAAAGATGGCTAAAGACAAGGGGTCAATCCTTCTCGCACCCCAGTTCTGGTTGCTAGCTCTGGTTTTGGAAGGGAAGAACAGACAGTCCCGAGCTGAGAGCAGCAGTGCCACAAATAACAAATAGGGTTTGAGCCTGAAAGGCTGGGGAGAAAAGGGTTGCAGACAACAAACGGGGGTCGAACAGTGGCTAATAGGGTAGCAATCAAAGCCGCTGTCTCAGGGTCCTGATAATGGGGAAAGTTATGTCGGTAACGGATGCTGGACCCTTGTTACAGATCAATTATTAAATAATGCAAAAATCCCCAGACAGGCCTCTGTGAGAAAACAACACAAAACCAAAAAAATAACACTACAGAAAAAGGTAAAGTTGACAGGACAACATGGCCTTTTACGCAGCCAAAGAACATGCCCAAAGAACAGTAGATGTAGGATTGGGAACACGAAGACAGAAACTGATATGCTAGTGAGGGGGGGGGGGGTATACAAATACTATACATGGATACTGGACACCTTAACCAAAAGGGACACGGTGACGTGCACCCTTGATTAACAGGCCTCAGAAGGCTCAGATGCTATTAATATCTTAAATGGTAGGTACAAGGTGCTTCAAACGTTCATCTGCAGCCAACAGAGGGAAGTTCAGGTAGCTCAGCCACACAGAAAGGATCAAAAGAATTGCACTGGCACTGACCAGGAACTTGTCGTTGAGTTGCTTGAGTGACTCAATTGTCTTTTTCGCTTCTGCTGGGAGCTCGGCAGCGAGACCTCTTTCCAGTTCATCATCTGCATCACGCTTAATTTGGTCGAGGTTTTCTTGGTGGACTCTGCGGGCCTTCTCGATAGACTTGTTGGTATCCTCTGCCTGGCCGCGCATGTCAGCTATCTGCGCTTCCAGAGCAGCAACCTCAGATGCCCGTTGAGCTTCCAGGTCCATCTGTGCCAACATTAGCGCAGGAGAAAAAGTGGCAAGCAACAGCACAATCCAGGTCAGAAGTGGATTGAGATCAATCAACGTATGCATACATCAAACAGCCATCCGCCAAAATGATTCTAGAACCCGAATGGGAAGCCCGTTTTGAACCTAACTCTGATGGATTTAGGCCAGGACGTAGTTGTCAAGATGCCATCGACACTCTGGCGAGCCTAGAAAGTAACACCTGTCGGCTATCAGCACCTCATTCTTCTACTACCCAACACTTGATTGGCATATGCTTCTGAGGCATTTCTGACACAGAATAAAGCCACAATTTCAATGAATGTTCGGAACTGAACAACACTGCAACTCTCAGCAGATAAAACGGCAGCAAGACTGAACCTTGTCTACATATCTTCTGAGCTCTGATCACAGTCGAGGTGGATGCTGCTGATCCTCAGCCTGATTCAAGCTTGCTAGCTCATGCACAATAGCTCATCCAGCACAATGCACAATAGCTCATCCAGCCAGTTTAACTCACTTTTTTCTGCATTTCTTCAGTGATTACAGCAGCTTCCCTTGACCTGCCTTCTAAGCATTACAAGCTGGTTGCTTTAAAAGACTGTTTCTCTGGTTTTGATGTCATTTGCTGGGACAGGATGCCCCTTGCAATGATATCGTGTGGTGCTGACAACTCTACCTTTTTCCATCTAGTGTACCGCATTGGCATTATGGCTGTATCCAGATATTTCGGCTTCCATACATTGATTATTCCCGTCTTCAGTTTGTATTGAGACAATGCAGCTGACTGAATGTGGCTGTCACTGCACTGGACAAAACAATGGGAAAAAAAACCTTTTGTGAAGTGCTAGCTTTCATGGCGTGTGACTTATATTCTCACTGATACCCAAATTCTTTTTTTTGTGCACTATTATTCATGGAATGGATTCAGCCAATAAATTTGCAAACAATCAAAAGCACGGATGCTTACCCTTGTCTTTGTCTCTGTTGCAAGCTCTGAAGTCAAATCAGCAACCCGAGACTCCAGCTTCTGCTTCGTGTCCTGCAGAACATCAATCTCCTTTGCCAACTGTGGATTGGCGAACGAAACAAGAAAGACAACTGTGTCAGTCTCGGATTGAAAAAAAAAAAACACGATATTATGAGATCAATGTGGCACAGTTGTTCCTGCAGGCACAGGGACAGAGGGGTGGCCAATCTGTGTGCGTGGCACATGTTGGAGGAGATGGCAAGTGAGCCGGTGTGCCTCCCTGTAGGAGGAAGAGTGCTTGCTTTTTCTTTGCTTCTTTTTGTTTTCGAAAGGGTAGCAGCTGTAACATATTATAGTCAACAACCAGGATGACCCTGCTAAATGAGTATTGATTTTATAGCACTGAAACTTCGGATCTGTTATAATACAATGTGTTCATTCTTGCCAGGACTTCCTGTACCACCCCACTTGTGCCCTCCTGGCCATTTCCTTTTACCGTTCTCTACATATAAGCTTTGAGTACAACGGAGCGTTTCTGTCCATTGAGGCAGCCTGGCCCTCGGTTAAGGTAATCATCGTTGGCTGTCTGGGGGCATCCCAGTTGGTCTGGAACCCAGCTCCTGTCTGGTGTAACAAAGGCAATGCATCCACATAAGCTTACAGTGCTTGCTTTGTGTGGATATTACTACCGGGAAATCCCGGCGCCAGCTGAAAGTAGAACAAAGACAATAACCTGGGCTGCAAATAATGGAGGCAAGACTGGCTTGAACGGAGGATAAGATTGACAGTGGAGAAATTACCTCCTTGAGATCAAACAAATCTGCTCGTGCATTCTTAGAACGCCAAGCTGACTGGAAGAGAATTGTAGACGATAGGAGTTCCTTGTATGACTTGGTAGCAAAGCAAGCACGCCAGTTGGCCTGGGAAGTACGAGGAAATGAAGGATACGACATGATTCACAATGGCAGCAAACAGTTAGGACCTGGAAATTGGACATCCTGACACATTTTGTCAATTCATTGCAAAACATCTTAAGACTTGAATACATCAATATATTTGCTCTCTGAGAGATGTGGAAAGCAGCCGAGACTCTCCTTCCTTACATCCTTCCACCTCTCTCTCTCTCTCTCTCTCTCTCTCTCTCTCTCTCTCTCTCTCTCTCTCTCTCTCTCTCTCTCTCTCCTCTCTCTCTTATACACATCTAGATG